ATTATGTGTTAGACACTGTTGTAGGTATAGGAGATACAGCAGTGAACAATATATATTGTCTTTGTCCTCATAGAACTTACAGTCTAGTAGGGGACATATAATAATAACAACAAACAGTTGAATAACATTTACTATGTGTCAAGAACTGTTCTAAGTCCTTTATACATATCAGTTCTTTTAATCATCACAATAACCCTATCCCTATTTTATAGATAAAGAAATTGAAGGAGAGAGAAGTTATTTGTCCTGGTCACGCAGTAAATAATGGAGCTGAAAATCAACCCAGTATATCTGGCTCAATAATCTTTGTGCTCAATTATATATTATAAACTGCCTTATCATAGGAGGGGGAAAAGAGGGTCCTCAGAGAGAATTTAATCAGTCATGGAAGGAACCACTGAAGGAGATACCTGGAAGTGAGAAAGAATACTGGGCAATTGGGAGACTGAAAAAAATTCAGTTAAGGGCGCCTGGGTGGCTCAGTTGGTTAACCGACTGCCTTCAGCTCAGGTCATGATCCTGGAGTCCCTGGATCGAGTCCCGCATCAGGCTCCCTGCTCAGCAGGGAGTCTGCTTCTCCCTCTGACCCTAACCCCTCTCATGTGCTCTCTCTCATTCTCTCTCTCTCAAATATATATATATAAAAAAAATTCAGTTAAGCTGAAAAAGAGGAATGACAAGAGATGAGACTAGTGGAGGCGCCTGGCTGGCTCAGTCCAAAGAGCCCCATGTTGCGTGTAGAGATTACTAAAAATAAATAAATAAAGTTAAAAAAACCAACCAAACAAAGAGAGATGAGTCTGGCAAAGTAAGCCAGGGCCACATTAGTTTATACTTTATTCTCAGGGCAGTGAAGCAAGGGAGTGACTTGTTCAGATTGGGGCTATGAGGGCTCGGTAAGACTGTGAAGACGCTTGATGATGCTCCTATAGCATTTCAGGAACTGCAATAGGATCATTGTAGGTAGTGATAAATGCTGTGAGGAAATGATATTTAAACTGATAACTGAATAGGGAGCAGAAGCCAAATCTAGAAGAACATAGAAGGCAGGAGTAGCAGATATAAAGGCCTTGAGCAGAAATGAGCTTGGTATATTCAAGAGATGGAAGGAGGGATGTCTGGGTGGCTCAGTTGGTTAAGCATCTGCTTTTGGCTCATGTTATGATCCCAGGGTCCTGGGATCAAGTCCCGCATTGGGCTCCTTACTCAGCAGGGAGTCTGCTTCTCCCTCTGCCTGTCACTCCCCCTGCTTGTGCTCACTTTCTCTCTCTCACACACAAAGTCTTTTTTTTTTTTTTTTAAGAGAGAGATGGAAAGAAAGCTAGTGTGCTGGAAGCCTTGGGAGTAGAAGCAGGGCTCAAGGACATTGGATTAATCTAGCTGTCATAAAAAGCCTTTAAAGAGTTTTAATCACATCCTTCCACTTTTATCCCTTTAATTTCTAGAATCCATCTCTGTCTCTCCACCAGAGATGGAGAGACATCCATTTATTTTATTTTTAAATAAATATATTTATTTTATTTTTTTT